CAAGACACTCGACATCAGTTCTAGGTAAACCATACCTATCGAGAAGTGTGAGTTTCCAATTGAGAGGTTAAAGCTGACCTGACTCTCTTTTCCAAAGACCAAGAATTGGGCCCTTGAACAGAAAATATGGATACTAGAATGAGCGGAGCGTGAAGGACATATGCAGAAATCTACAGCCATGTTTTTTTGCTCAAATAGAGAAACAATACACAACTACTTATGCTCAGTACTAAGTTCTAAATTTAGAGAAACACATGTATGGAAACCCAAGAGGGGGCCTCTTTGGTCATTTTGAAAAACAACTGGTGGTTGAAAGTAAAATACACACAAAGAAACTTCTAGAAATCTGAGCCCCTGCATCTGACTGCTGAAGCATTCCTCCATTTCTAGTGGAGATTTTTTTCCCCCACATCCCTCACAGATTATTTTTGACTTAGCCAAGCAGGGAGTCTATTTTAAAGCTCCCAATTCGAAAATCATGGAAGCTTTATAACGTCCTCCACCTGCACCTCTTTTTAGGAACACAATCCTTTATTCTCTAACGGATGAAAACCTCCAGCATATAACAACTTTGTTAAGCTGTCACTATCAATAGGGGGAAAAAAATAACAGTTGACAAAGAAGAAACAAATTGCATCTTCGAATAAGTTTTCTTGAAGCTGTTGTTAAAAGCTATAACCTCTGATGTTAACTAAATTTAACCCATTCTGACCCTTGTGGTGGCCCTTAACCTCTTCTTTCTTCTGCTTCCTGAGGCTGCTGGAGAAAATGGGCCCAGTCCTTGGAAAAGCGTTCTCTGTAGCACACAAAAGGCCCAGCCTTCCTGCTACCCCGCCAGGAGGCCCTGGATCGACCGAGGGGTCAGCACCTGTGCAGAGAAGCAGGTGACAAGGGACGGCCTTCATCCTTCCCCAGCAAGCTCTAAGAGTGGCCAGCCTTCAGCCACCACGCTGTGGTTTCAAGCATTCAAGCCCCTGCAGTTCAGGTTTTCTTTGTGAACACAGACTTTACACAAATTAATCTATTGCTGTTCAACTGACTGTAAAATTAATAGATTTACTGTTGCAAAAAAAAAAAAAAAAAAGGAAGAAAAAAGAAAAACTGAGAGCTTTCACTTCCACTTTGGTAAGGTCACGCATGCGTCCTAAGCTGCCAACAAAAAAGCTTTGGAAATCTTTAGAGCAGAACAGAGAAACTTTCGGAGAGGGGACAGGAGCAGCCAGTGCCATACAGTGGGACATCTTCCAGATACAGGAAGAATGTAGAACTCCGCACTGGAGATGCTTCTGACACAGTACGAATTTGTTTTATTGTGAACATTATATTGGTGGCCAGTCCTGCCTTCCTTGAAGGGCCTTGTCACTAGCAGATCTCAGGTGTTATAAAAACATTATTGGGTTTTACTTAAAATGTGAAATGCTAATAACTTGGTTCTGTTTTGCTCTGAGTTACACAGTAGTACACATTGTACATGCTTTAAGGTTTCTTATGCTAGCTCTTTATGTATCTTCAGGACACTCCGCAACGGTGATGGAAATCCTTTTCATTAAGGGTTTCAAAATGATGAAAGCTAACTGAATCACCCCCCAAATTTACTACCTTCGAAAAGGTAACACACGGCTCTGCTGTTTTTCTAATGGAGACTTCTGAACCTATTTTCTGCTTCATTCAGTTGCACAAGACTTTTCACGGAAGATAAACGGACATTCCATGTAGAAGTACTCTTTCATTTTGCAGACATGAAAGCTTTTCAAAAAATATGTTACAATGTCATTCATCTTAGATTAATTTATTTTGCTCATTCACAACCACCATCACATTTTAATAATTGGTGCCATCATTTTTTGCCAAGAGGAATGATTAGTCTGGAGTCTAATGTTATGAGAAATTTTGCTCATGGCAAATGTATCCTGAATCTAGTAACAGTTGAGAGGACAGGAAGGGTTTTAACACAGATGTGGTCACCAGATGTCGTCTAGCTTCTGGGGAATTGGCACAAGCAGCCACAAGATGGATTTAGGTTGTAGGAAGAGATTCCCTCAGTCTTGCGAAACATTGAAATAGGCTACTTAGGGAAAGCTAAATCTCCCTGCCTAGAGTTTTCTTTTCTTTTTTTAAAGTGTGTGGATGCTTACGTGTTTGGAATAGATTAATCACAGTTCTGCCTGAGGAAAAACAGTAGAAATTCCATAAGAAGGCTTCCAGCTTTCATGTGTTATGATAATGGACACATGGTATTGGGCTGAGGGTAACTTCAGGATGTTTTGAGAAGTTATCCCACAATCTGCCAGCTCCCCACACACCCTGCTTTCCATGTCTCTGCTGACAAGCTTGTAAACATAGACTAAGGCGAGCAAGCATGGACCCTCTGTCAGCTAGATTTAGTTTGGTACTGCGTAGCATCTCACATATAATAGACTGCAATTTCCCTATTTTAGCAAAACTGTCCTGATAAGAGCTTACAGTCTAATGTTGGATAGGGTATGTAAAACTAGCTATAATCCATGAACAATTAGTTGTTGAGGAATACGGTGAGTATGTGAAGCCACACAGGCTTTGACTTATCTATGTAACTTCAAAACAAACACAGAGTTTGAATAGTGTAAGATTAGCCTCTTAAAGTAACTGTTGTAGTGATTGTGGCATCATGAAGATACAGCCTAGTGTTAAAAACTTTTTAAAGAAATCACCCATAGAGTAACAACTCTGTGGAACATTGAATTGTATCTCAATGAACTAGGCTAAGACTGTGTCTAATGGGCCTCCCTGGTCCAAAGGTGGGGAGAGGGGACTTTGGAAGCTAACAGGTAAAGGTTTCTCTCTTTCTCAAGAGAGAAAAACACCAATATATGTATTGTGTGAGAAACCGTGTGATTTGGGGACCAACCATGGAAATTAACATGGAATTTATTCTGTGGAGGAAAATATACAAGTTTTGATTTGAGTCTTACTGAGTCATATTTCTATATTTTGGGGTGGTTTTTTTGTTTGCTTTTGTTTTTGTAAATTATAGGTAGAAACAATAGCCATTGGGAAAGCTCTGTAAATTTCCGAGAGTTCTGTTCTATGCGTGTATTCAATTAGTTTACAGAGGATTTGTGCCACAGTATAATACTTCCCCTAAACCAAGAAGTTGAGGCCATATATACAGGAAGGGGATCCAAAAGATCCAGTTGCCTGCTTTACTATCTTTACTCAAGGGCCTTCAAAATCTACACAAGGGAGCTGAATCCAAGACTCTCAATGACTCTTTAAAAGCTGCCATGTCCCATCTCAGCTGGAGGTCAAAGCAGAGTTCAAGTAAGAGATTTTTAAAAAATATATCTTTGAGGGCATGTCTTCTGTGCACCTTGCTCTACTCATCTCCTTCCAGGAACAGTAAAGCACCCCTTCTTGAGATAGCTAATGATAGCCGTCTGGAAAACTGCCCAGGTCATCTATTCCGGACACATACGCCTCAAAGAGCAACCACCACACGGGTGCTGGCTGGGTAGCTCCAGCTACCAACAAGTACTTGGAGTGAATTCAAATTACAGTCTTACCAAATTCCAAGCCCTTAGTTTGGGTGTTAAACCTCTTCAGTTTTTCACATTTCACTAAATATCCTCGCAGACTTGTAACTCCACTGCTTCACTAGCTACTTTACTCTAACAGCGTAAGGAACATTTAGCATTAAAGCACCAACTCTAGGGCTCCTGGGTGGCTCAGATGGTTGAGTCTGCCTTCAGCTCCAGCTGTGATTTCCAGGTCCTGGACCGAGCCCATGTCAGGCTCCCAGCTCAGCAGGGAGTCTGCTTCTCCCTCTGCCTCTCCCCCTGCTTGTGTGCTCTCTCTCTCTCTCTCAAATGAATAAATTAAAAAAAAAAAAAAAGTGCACCAACTCTGGCTCCACGCTGCCTGCATTCTATTCTGGATTCCGCCACTAGTTGTGTGACCTTGGGCAAATTACTGAACTTCTTCAGGCTTCAGTTCCCTCATCTGTGAAACAGGGTAAGAAGCTTGTCTTGAGGACTAAATGACTAAGAGAAATAAAGCGCTTAGAAGGGTACCTGCAGGCACACAGGTATGTACTGGAAACACGCATCTGTAACTGTTGAGCACCCACCGTTCCCACGGCATCCGCTGGTCACTCTACCCCCTATCTAAACAAGCTTGTATCTTGGTATTAAGGAATAATTTGGGTGGCCTAATTCTTGCTGAACTGGTAAATGGCCAACACACAAATACTAACCTCGGACTATGGGCTGCATACACACGAGTCGTTTCTGGGTTGATTGCTTCACTTTTTCAGCAAAATAGTCAGCACCTAATGCGCCAGACACTGGGATTCGATGAGGAAATAGAAACTCGGGACTTTAGCTCTTAAGGCTGAACTAGCGTTTTCATCTGTAACAAAGCAGGTAAAAACTGATTCACGGGGTCATTTAAGGAGAATCAAGCTATGTGTTCAGCCGCACTATATCCGTAGATGCCGTTTCCTCCCATATAGTAAATTCTTTCATTAGGTAGCTTCACTACGTCATGACTGCAGATTCCCACTGGGTCGTCCCACTGAAGACGAGGTGACAGGTCAGGTCACTGACATCAGTAGTGCGACAGAGGGCACAGCAGCCTCGCAACAGGGGTGTGCCCCCGCACGGGCAGGTGACAGCCAGGAGCACCGAGATTTGCAACTGCCCTACTGACTCCTGACAAACCACTTCACCACCAGCGGCCCGTTTTCGCCTTCGTGAAACTGACGGCCTGTTCGAAGATCTCCCAGTCACAACAGTTCTTGAATCTTACACTCCTAAACCCACTTCAGATCTTCTCAGGTGGCCCCGCGCTAGGGAACCTAGGGCAGTCTTTCACTTCCCGAGTCTGTCTGCTCACCGGCAAACCGGAGGCAATGCTTCTTAAACCACAGGAGCCATAAGAACATTTATGAAGTATTTTACTCAACATTAAATTAATAAAAGAGAACTCCTGCAAGAACCGCCCTCCGCCCTCCACACTTCCGCGGAGGACTTCCGCCTTCCAGCCGGACGGCGCTCCTCCCTGCGTCACCTTTCCTTTAGAAGACGTGAGCCGGAGCCCCGCCCACTACGGAGGGCGAAGGGGGCTTCCCGCGGGGACCGTTCCCTGGCTTCTTCCGCCAGACCTTACAATCGCCCGCCCGGCATAGGTAAAGCCAAAGGCGAGGGGCGCCGTGCGAGGAGGGCCTGTGCGGGAGGACGTGGGCTTAGGCACAGTCCTGCGGAGGAAGCGGCTTCGCGCTCAGCTGTGTCCCTGGAAGGTTAGTGTCCCCGCTGCCGCCGGACGGAGCGCGGAGAGACGCCGCAGACCCTGCCGCGGGGTGGGGGATTCGGCCGGTCTCTAGAGCCGTCTTTGGGTCCAGAATACTGACCCTGCATCCGGGAACAGCAGGACCTAGACCCGACGCCGGCCCTTAGGCCTCTGAACGTTTCGCCCCGCCATCGCGGCGTACATACGGGCACGCGTGCACGCACGCCGGCCCTACGTCCCCACGTCCCTCTCTAGCCCCCTCTCTAGCCGGAGGGCGCCGGGGGACCACTTCCCGGTGTGGGCGTGGCCGCGGCTGACACACGTGACAGTCCGACTGCGCGGAGAGGAGTAGCTGGGAGGGTTGCTAAGTGGTTGAGGGATTTCTTTTTTCCCTACTCACAGTTTAATGGGCTCTATGGCATAAGATTCATGAACGAAGTAAATAAACTTTCCTACAGAAAACTCGCAGTCTAAGAAGGTACAGAGTGGAGGGGCGTTTGCAAAGTCAGCGACCGCTTAGTATGCCAGGGACGGGACAGTAAAGGATAAATCAGATTCGTTCCCAGCTTCAGAGAACTTACAGTCTATTGAAGGAGAGAAACAGCAATCAGATAGTCACCAGCTTGTGATTGTGATTGTGATTAGTACTAAAAGGGAAAGATAAGCTATACTACGCGAGCATTTAATGTTGGGCATTAATGCCGAGCTCAACAAACAGATGAGGGGGCAAGGGAAGTAGGGGCTGATCGCTTAGTTTGGAAGGTAATCAGAAGAATGCCTGGAGAAAGGGAGCACTAAGCAACTATCCGGAGCTTCCTAAACTTAAGGGAAGAGCGTTTCAAGAATCTGGACGGCCAGTGTGGTTTAGGCAAGTAGAAAGTTTTGTATAGAACGAGGCTGGAGAGGTGGCACGAGCCTTTAGGCTTCATGAAAGATGTTAGCCTATAATATGAGGCAGTTTTATGGTGGGGAGGGTGGGGATGTTTGGTGACAGCCGCGCAGGGATAACGGATTGCCATTCCAAGTGTGTAAATCCTAGGTAGGATACTGGTGGGAATCAGGTGGTGGCAATGGGCGTGGGGAGAAGTGGTTAGATTTGAGTGGAATTAGGAAGAAAATTTATGAGACTTGGTGTTGGATTAGCTAGGAGAGTGAGGGAGAGCAGAGATGGAAAAGAGGGTTACTCTTTTGGAGGATGGACTGTGATGCTGGGCACCGAGATAGGAAGTTCTGGAAGAGCAAAGGACCAGGTACAAGATACATGTGCAGGAATAAGTCCAACGTTAATATTGAGTCTGTAGCTCTGGATTTAAAAGCTTTTTAAAAAACATTTCCTGGATGGTCATTAAGCTACTTCAAGAAGATAAGTAAAATATAAAGTAAGTTAAATATTTTATAGGTAAAAAAAATACGGTTAAGTAATTGACCAAAGATATATGTCGGCTTCTTTCAGTGTTGTAAATCGGTGTTATTGCTCTTAAAAAGCTAACATGAGTATGGATAGTACTTTGTACTCCTTATGGAAGAGCAAAACCGGAGCCAAGGGAGAGCACCATGAAGGCTCAGTGACCATGGTTCAGTCCTCTGGTATTAAGGCTGCAGAGCCCACTGGAACAGAACACATGGCCTGTTGGCAGGTCTGCAGGCAGAAGCAAGGATTTTGTGAAACTCTTTTGAAAGGTGTGAGGAAGAATCTTAAAGTCATAGGAACTGGCAAAATTAATTTCACAAGTATTTAGTCCTCTAGAATCTATGTAGCTTTGATCCAACCTCCCTGGAAATAACAAATATTAATAAGTATGAGCTTGTGAATATCAGCTATAGAGGAAAGAAGAGTGGTGAGCGTGCAAACAATTTAATTTCTTAAAGGACAGGACTCCCTCATAACCACATATTTAAATCATATTCCAAGAAGTTTCATTACAATACATTATCCATACCTCCTGAAGAAGTACTTGGTAATGCAAAATAATGTATCATAAGGGGAATACAGCTATCTTTTGGAGCAGTAATCATTTGATTACTTTTTTTTTCTTGTACAAAAATGCTCATAGCAAAACACACACACACACACACACACCCCAAACCAAAAATGCTCATAGCAACTTTATTCATAACAGCCCCAAACTGGGAACATTCTAAATGTTCATCAATAGAAAACTGGATTTAAAATTTGTAGTATATCCGTACACTGGGACAATTCTGAGAAATAGAAAGGAACAAACGAGTGACACCTCCAACAACACCAGTGAATCTCAAAAATATGCTGATGTGCCTTACAACAAAGAGTACATAGGCTTGATTACATTTGTATGAAATCTGAGAACAGACTATGATGGAAAAATATCAGAACAGTTGTTGCCTCTGGGTGAGGTTGGAGACTAACTTAGAAGAGACATGAGGTAACTTTCTGGGTGATGGTAATATCCTGTATGTTGAGAGGAGTTGTGGTTATTGGTCAAAAGTAATTAAAAGGTATATTTAAGATTCAAACTTTTTTTTTTTTTTTTAGATTTTATTTATTTGAGGGAAAAAGCAAGAGACAGAACATGAGCCGGGGAGAGGGGCATCAGGAGAGGGAGAAGTAGGCTCCCTGCTGGGTGGGAAACCTGACGCAGGGCTCCATTCCAGGACCCTGAGATCACGACCTGAACTGAAAGCACATGCTTAACCCACTGAGCCACCCGGGGGGCCCCTGTACATTTCATTATATGTAAATTTTGCTTCAAAATGGAGAGAATCCAGGGGCACGTGGGTGGCTCAGTGGGTTAAAGCCTCTGCCTTCAGCTCTGGTCATGATCCCGGGGTCCTGGGATTGAGCCCCGCATCGGGCTCTCTGCTCCACGGAGAGCCTGCTTCCTCCTCTCTCTCTGCTTGCCTCTGCCTACTTGTAATCTCTGTCTGTCAAATAAATAAAATCTTTAAAAAAAAAAAATGGAAAGAATCCAAATACTGAACCCTAGTTGATGGAATGCATGCTGAAGTATTTGAGGATGAAGCATTTGAAGATGTCAGTGTCTGCAACTTTACTTTGAAATGCATCAAAGCATAAATGGATAGAAAGAGGAATAAATAGATGGGTAAATAAAACAAAGATAGCAACATGTAGAATCTAGATGAATGGGTATTGGGGCGTTCATTTCTGTATATTTAAACATTTCCATGGTAAAAGTTGGGGAAAATAGTCCTCAAAGAATATTAGTCATTTTAAACAACTGCACACTTAGTGTGAAAGTATAAAGAACAGCCCCAAGCTCTCCCGAAATACTGTGTATGGAAGTAGCCATATGTTTATTTCGTAATTTCCCACTTTATGGCTTATTATTTAAAATCCTTTCAATTTCTTATAGAATATGTGGGTCAAACATTAAAATTACTCTGTGTTGTGTGCATTTGGAATAATGCCATTGTCATTTTTCTTACATGGTCCCAGGCACTTTAGGGGTGGTGTTGAAGAGGTCCAAGCAGGGGAGTGAGGACTGAAATTAGTGGGACTGCTTAGACAGAAGAGTGAGGGGGCTCTGAGGGCACTTGTCCGTTTATCCTCCAGTGCTTGAGGATATGGAGTTTTCCACGCACCTACCCAATCTCCTGCAACTAAGGAACAACAACAAAAAATATTATATTTTCTCCCCACAGTGTGGAGTCAGCTGCGGAGTTTCAAACTCCCAGTGGATGCAGAGAGCTGCAGCCTGGGATGATCTCGATCAGATCCAGGTTCCTGTGAAACCAGATATGGCTGTCTCACTACACAATTATGTATTTTAAGTAAATGACTTTAAGATCATTGGCTTTTCAAATAGTTCTGGATGTCTCTGAAGGGATAGCTGTGGCAGTGAGTGACTAAAAGCACCTATATTGTCATAAGAACATGAGAACTTACTATAGTTTAGACTGCTGGCTCAGTCAGCCTACCATTTGTTTGACAGAGTTGTCAAACACATTTAATTGCAGAAATTTCTTAAAGAGCAAGGCTTTCTGTTTTGCATCCACCTGGAAAGCTTTCTTAACCTTTTCTTAACCTTTGCTCTTATACTCCCCAGACAGCCTAGCTTAAACCACTGGAGCCCACTAATGTTACAATGTTGCATCATTTATTTTCTTATGTCTTCTTTTTTGAGAGGGTCTTCACCCAGTGGTTCTTAACAATAGAGGAACAAGGAAACATCTTGTGTTTTAAGAAAGCATTCCCAGATGATGCTGGTAGGCCTCCAATTTCTGAGAACCACTGCTCCAAAACATGTTCCCTTTTAACCACGAGTTAGCCAAACATTGCACAATTTCTACTTGGACATGAAACCATCTTCATTTTATGATGGGGAGATACTTTTAGACTGATGAAAACTAGATGGAGAATAAAGGTGATCTGCATTACCAAACAATTCAGACTTTGCAATTTGTTAAGTTCCGTAGAATTCATCTAGATAAGGCCTTGAACCTAATAAAGAGAACATTTTTTTGAAGATTATATAAAGCCAGAATGCCAATTTATTAAATTATAGTGATGTATGTAACTTATATGGATTAAAACAGTCCCATTGGCACGACTAGTGAACTGTTTCCTTTCTTCGGGCAGCTGCTTCTCTTTTTAACTTTTTAATTATGAACAAAATTAAACCTATAGGACAGTTTTAAGACTCAATAACCAAACATTCACATAACCGTAACATAGATTCAGCAAATGTTGCCATGCTGCACATGTATTTTCTGCCGAACCCTGTCCAAGCAAGTGGCAGATGTCATGGTCCTCTACCCTGAATACTTCAGAGTCCCCTCCCAAGAATGGCATTTTCCCACCTGAGACAGTCACAATACTTCTCGGATCCCTGCCGGTCCATCAGCAATCTCCTTACTTTTCAGCTTGTCCCCTATATCTCAACATCTCTTTGTAGTTGTTTTTTTTTTTCCAAACCCATTGCATTTTACAATTATGTCTCCTCTTTTTATTCAAGAATAGCCCCCTTCTTTTTTCATTCCCTTTTACATTGACTTTTTTTTTTTTTTTTTTTG